CCCGCCAAGGGCATCGACACTTAAGTTCCTCCTCAAGATATGCAAGGCATCGACACATCGATTCTTCTTCAAACTCTTGGATTGAACCCACTTTGTTTCTTTTAGGTTTAATCTCTCATTCTTAGAAAAAATATAATCTAATCTCTATGGTAATTGTAATCTGAGTTTGGTGATTGAACAATTTCGTGTTCCAAAATCAATTTTGAAGAACAAATAATTTTGTGTTTATTTTCTGGGTTTTGTTGGTGTTCCAGATTTCGTATTCATATAAGTGTGTTTCTTTCTAGAAGGAAACCTACACATACACACATACATAAATCGATTGTAGATTGGATTTTGTGGGTTTTCTTTTGAAAGGGAGATTTCGGTGTGTATGTATGTTCATCAGAAATCAGTGGAGTCACTAGTGAAATGAGAGAGAAAGAGTCAAAGAGAGAGAGAGAGGGATAAAGATATATATATATATATATATATATATATATATATATAGAGAGAGAGAGAGAGAGAGAGAGAGAGTACGGTGGGGTGGGGATGGAAAATTCTTTTTTTTAAATCAAAATAACATTAACATACTTATAGAAAAAGGAAAAAAGAAATCAAAAGGGTATAACCGTCTTTTTAAGTTATTTTGGACCAAAAAACCTAGAAAAAACTTGATTTTGGACCTTCCATGTAAGTTGAAAACTTTTTGGACCCTATCCAAAGTTTTTTGAACACCAGAGGGACCAAATTTGTAGTTTTTTCTAAAAAAAATATATCAGAAGGGCATTATAGTCATTTCAATTTTACGAGGGACCAAATCTACGTACAAACATGGCCAAAAGGACCATGAAGCCAAAAAAGTCGGGGTTTGGACTAAAACCCCAAAAAATGCTTACCACAGGGACCATTTTTGCAGTTTTGTCTTTAAAATAATATGTTTTTTATGTTTAGTTAAGGATAATATTTAAAAGATAATCTGAAAAACTAGTTTAAATAGCTTTTTGAAAAGTTAACTTATAAGTTACTTTTTAGTTTGACAAACATAACAACTTAAAAACTTTCAGAAAATAAACTAGTTGTGGTGCACCAAACAGAGCCTAATGCTATGTTTGGCGTACTAGTTGAAAAGCTAGCTGTTAGCTGAAAAGCTAACTGTTAAATAAAAAGCTAACTGATAGCTGAAAAGCTAGCTGATAAAAAATGACGTTTGGTAAAACTAGCTGAAAAATATAAAATTACATAAAATGACATGTAAGAGTATGTGTTTCTATAATTATTTAAGGATGTATTTGGAAAATTTTAAAAAAACTCCTAAAAGGTTAGTCTAAGTAGCTTTTCAAAAAGCTAACTTATAAGCTACTTTTTGGCTTACCAAACACGACAACATAAAAAAGCTCGAAAAATAAGTTAGATTATCAGCTAGCTGTGGTGCCAAACACAGCCTAAATAACTAAATTGGAACCTCCCATCTCATAAGACATAAGAAAATAACAATTTAACTAGTAGACACCACTCAGTGAATTTGCTAAGTTACTTTTTGTGACACAAATTTTGGAAAAAATTCACACATTAAATTTATTAAAAAGGAAAAAAAAAAAAAAGTCTTAGGATTAACCCATTGAAAAAGGTCAAAAAAAAAAAAAAAAAAAAAGGTAATGCTGCAAGTTAACTGAATTTATAACCAAAATATATGATATTTTGTAACATTTAAAATAAAAATTGTTCGGCGATATGGTCATATACTCATATGAGCGAACAACTGTACATTTTTATAGCATGTTCCATATTTATTATACTTTGCTAGGAATAAACATGTGTTTTTCGTACATTTTTGTACTCAGCGGACATGATAATATTAGTATAATGTCAAATCAAGTTTGTAAAGTCTCTTTTTTTTTTTAGACAAAACTTCAAAAATGGTCCCTGTGGTTTTCGAAAATATCAAGTTTAATCTCTAAGTTCAAAAAACCTCACGGATCGTCCCTGTGGTTTCAAAACTTTTAACATTTGGTCCTTCCGCCTAACTCCATCAGCTTTCTATCGTTAAGTGAGGGGTATTTTCGTCATTTCAACACCCAGGGACCATTTATGAGGTTTTTTTTTGTTGGAAAAAAAAGAAAAAAAATTAAATTTAAAGGGGTCCCACCCATCTCTCTCTCTCTCTCTCTCTCTCTCTCTCTCTCTCTCTCTCTCTCTCTCTCTCTCTCTCTCTCTCTCTCTCTCTCTCTCTCTCTCTCCACTTTACAATGGAGGAATCCTAAAAAAAGCTACAACAATGGAAGCTGCAACAGTTGTGTTACCAAATCTCACTCATTCAAATCCCCCAAATCCCCTAAATCGCTCCATAAATCTCACACCCAACTCTACCTTCTATGGTTCTTAATGAAATCTCCAACTTACAGTTCTCCAATTCACAGCATCTGGGTCTCAACCATCTGGGTCTCAACTTTTTCTGCTCGTTGTCTTCCCCATACACACCCACAAATAAAGAAAACCCAAAATCGGAAACTCCAGATTTGTCCACCGAATCACATCTTCAGAATCCGGTCTTGACCCGTGAAGAAGCACTACCACGGATGATCCAAAATTGCAAACCCGGAATCCCATGAGATAAACATTGAAACCCAGAAAAAATTCATAGAATCTTGGTTTTCTTGAGTAGAATCAAATTGAGTACAGGAACCCACTAATCTCTCATTTGCCTCAAAACGTCCCAATCTATCTAGCAACATCTCGATCTGGTAACTGCCAAATTCCTTTATCTTGTTGGCGTTTGAGATGAGTTCATACAAAGCCTTCATCCTCTCTGCAATAAGAACAAGATTTTGAAGAAAACATAATACAAGGTTTATAGGAAAGATAAGAAATATGGGCCTGAATCTTCTAGCTCTACTTCTCTGACGTGGCTGTGATGGTGCTCCACCACCAGTGTTGCAGTTGCGGTCTGTACTCACGATTGTTGACAACGATTTCAATAATGTAATTTGGAACGTAGGTCAACTACTCACTATTCACTTGTGGTTTCCAGTCTAAGACACAAACACAGGACGGAACAATAAAAACCACACACACACATATGGGGAAGGGCGGTGATTATCGCGTCCACAAATTGATGATGACAACAAGCAGCTGACAGTGGTTGGGAGATGTAATCGAAATCGACGGGGCTAGGGTTTTAGGAGGTGGTGTCGTCGTCGGAGTCGATGGGTATTATATGATGCACTGATAGTCGGAGCGACTGTATCGTGGAATCGTTACAGAGCAACAAACTTCAAACAAATATGGTTACGATGATGCAATAATGATGATCATAAATTACAGACGAATGTGGTGGAGGTGAAGTTATATGATAACAGGGATTGAATTTTCCCTTTTTATTTTGGGTTGCAGGTGCTCTTCCTGTGAATGTAAGAGAGAAAACAAAAAGAAAGGGGTGGAGTGGAGTGGGGAAGAAGGGAATAAGGGTGGGGTTGTTAGAGAGAGAGAGAGAGAGAGAGAGAGAGAGAGAGAGAGAGAGAGAGAGAGAGTGGGTGGGTGGGTGGGTGGGTGAGCCCCCTTTATATTAAATAATTATATATATTTTTCTTTTTTTTTTAAATGAGGCAAAACTTCATTAATGGTCCCTGTAGTAGTGAAATGACCGAAATGTCCTTCACTTAACGGCCAAAAGCTAATGGAGTTAACGAAAATGACCATTGTTAAAAGTTTTGAAACCACAGGGACGATCTGTGAGGTTTTTTGAACTTAGGGATTAAACTTGATATTTTCGAAAACCATAAAGACCATTTTTGAAGTTTTGTCTTTTTTTTATCTAAAAGTATACATGGTAAGTAACAAAAAATAGAAACACAAATATATAGTTACTAAATAAGTCTGTATAATATAATAAAAAAACAACTGCATCTTTATATGAACTTTAATTATTTATGACACTCCCAGTACAACCGAACCAACTTTACTAGAACCAAATGCATGCCATGTGAACCCTGACTTGAAAGATATGTATAAATACAAATTAACATATTGAAATAAGTGACTATACCTAAACATATCAAGAAAAAACCATATAGATTTTGTCTTAGCATCCCCACCACTTGACAAACATCAAACTTAACAGCAAATTTGCTATAAGACCCCACTCGTATTTTGAAACCATCACTGAAAACGAAGTGAAAGACATGTTTAGAACATAAGAAGCCAAGCCTGGATGTTGATCACGTGAGATGATCACGGCTACCGACTCATGAGCACTGGTGGATTTAGAAAATGTGTGTTTGCCTTTAAAAAAAAGTTGTGGATACAATTCAAAATTATTAATTTTTAAGTCATTTGTTTTAAAATATAAGAATAATCAGATTTTATACCGTAAAGTATTATAGTTTTTGATAATCCAAATGAAAATGTTATATTGTTTAAAATGAAAAGTTAATAGTCACTATGCCAAAATTAAATTCATATTAAAATTCTAGGAAAATGGTATTAAATAAATAGTTGTTGGTGGGATAAATAATAATTTAAGGAGAGAATAAATAAATGAAGTGAATGGGGAGGGAACACAGGTCAGAGCGAGAGTTATCGTCCTGCCTTGGGATTCTGCCGACGATTCTTTCAAAATGCTCAACTAGCACTACTAATTTACTACAGATAATTTGATACTAATGTTATAATAAATTAGTAAAGGATGTAAATTTAAAATTACAAAATAAATAAATAAATAATTGTTTGTTCTTAAGGACATATATTTATAAATCACTCTAATTCATTAGAAAAGTAGTCCAATAGTGGTATTCGAACCAAATACATAAGAAATTAAAAATATATATAGTAGAGTTGTCGTACTCAATTTATTGATCCTAAGTTACATTAAAGTAAACAGATACAAGAGTATAGAATCCCACAAAATTTAATCAAAAAATTTCCCCAGATTACAAGAAAATATATCCAGTCAAGACATTTTCAAAAAAAATAATAAAAACTTAGAAGAGGAAATAAAGGGTGATATGGTAATTTTGACAAGTCTAGTGGGCCATGGCAGCTGGGGGAGCAGGGGCATTAGCATTAGCATTAGCAAAGCTAATGTTTCTCTGGTTAGGCATGGCAAGCATAGCAGTATGATCCATGAAATCATTCAAAGCCACCACATATTCCAAAATTACCCTCAGATCGTCTGCACATGAGAACCCTAGGTTACCGGTTCTTCTAACAGCATAAACATAAAACGTTATGCACCCTTTTCTGAACTTGAACCGGGCCATCTCGCAACCGGACACTCCTCTGATCAGTTTCCGGTTCACTTCCCCTAAAGGAATCTCCGCTGGCCACACCCGGTCCATCGCCACCTTCATTTTTTCCGATTCGAATACGAACAGAACCACCTTCGATTTCTTGGTGCCGAGGCCGAGTGTGAGGGTGTGCCATGCATGGTGCGCTAATATGGTGAAGTTTGTAGGGAGGAAACCGGTGGTTGACGGGAAGATAGATGGGGTTTTGTTGTGGATGGGTGTCGGTGGGGGTAGAGAAAGGAGGCGGAGGAGTTCAAGAGGCCGCGCACGGCGGATGGTGAAGGATTTAACGATGAATTGACCGCCGAATCGGAGGCCTTTGACTTCCGACGAGGGTTTGAAAGAGTAATCTGAGGAGGATTGATCATTTGGGTGTTTGTGTTTTTGCTTCTTTTTCTTTTTCTTGTTTTCTTTTTCATCCATGGATGAATGAATGTGGTGGGCGGTGGTGGGTGAAAGAAATAGAGAGCGAGGAAGGTTGGTCGAATGGGGTTCTTTATGGTGAATGGTTGGATATTGATTTGTGATAAGAGACCAATCTGAAGCTTTTTCTGATTTTTCAAGTGAAAATGTACACTTTTCCACAAATCCTTTCATTTAATCGGTGATTGAATTTTTAAACATTTTACAAAATATAAAGAAAAACAACCGTCGTTTATAGAACTATATTCAAATTAATTACAAATTATCAAAAATAAATCAATTAGACAAGTAATATACTATTACCCAAAGACAACTCACTCACTATGCTTAGAATATTCCTATTTCAATAACATTAGTTAGTGAATGTAGGCAATTAGTTATCATATTTAAAAGACAAATTAAATATCATTTTACTTTTTTTTTTCTTATAAATCCTCCTATCTAATTAAATAATAATATATGTCATATTATTATACTAAAATATCATTAAATTTCATTAAATGAACATTAAATATTACACATGTCACTATTTAATTGCATACGATTATTTATAGTAACAAAAAGTAGAAGAATATTTAATTTCTCCATTTAAAATGTGTCATTTCATATGTCATATCAAAATGGTGTTATAACACTAATCCAATGAAATGAACAACTAGTTATAACATCTTTAACTTTCTATCTCATCATTTCTTTTTTATTTTTTTCGTCTTTTTTATTTTTTACTTTTTTCAATTTATTTATTTTTTTATTGTTTTTCTTTTCAATTTATTTTTTTAATCATGTTGGATTATTTAAAAAAAAAAAACAAAACATGCAATTTAATTAATTCTTAGATTAATCATAACATTAAAAACTTAAAATAACATTACACACACACAAAAAAAAAACATTGTCCTAAAAACTAAAAAGCGATCAACTAGTCATTCAAATATTGCTTTTCGATTTTCTCCTTCATCTTCCGGAGCACTTGCACTTCTCGTGGTCCCATGTTTTCTTCGCTAGTCTAGAGAATTGCTAAATCTTTTGCCATTTGATCTTTCTCCGCTTGCTTACGAAGAAACTCCAAGTGCTCACGTTGCACATTAACCTTTTGTTGGGCGATCAGATTTTGTTGGTCGACCTTTGCTTTCATTTTCGTGAACTCTGTTGCCCTTTTATCAGTTTTGTCCGCGTGATGTTGAGCGTGTTTCGCTTTGTCATGTCTGGTCGGTCGGCGTGGGGGGGGGGAGATCTCTTCGATGTCGTCGGGGATGTCATTCGTGTCGGCGTTGAGGTCGATGTTAGTTCGTGCGTCGAAAACGTCAAACGAACTAGAATTGCGAGACCTCTTTGATTGTGCCTCCGACGATGTTAGCGCCTTAATCCATTTTGAATCTTGCCTGAAAATCTCCCATATTTTTTTCAAACTTGAAAGTGTGCCCCATTTTGACTTGATATTGTTATCGCGCAGCTTTGTACATACCAAAATTGTGACATCCTCATTTTCACGGCCAGAAAAGACCGATTTTGTTTATGCTTTATAAAAATCAGAGTACCTCTTTTAATAAAAACGTTGCGGAATTTGTTTCCAGAAAAACATGATAAATACGTTATCAAAGTATTTCTGAAGAAATGTATTTTTATCCATTTTAAAACATTTGGGATGTCATCGTCAATACAAAAACATACGCATAAACAAATCTTACATTCATTTACACTAGTGATCTACATCTTTTTTAAATCCCTCAGTGTAAAGTAGCTTCATATCGACACTTATGATATAAATAAGCTTGAGTGTGTTAGGTTGGGAAACCTGGTGAGTACATAGGGTTTTCAACCCACAATAATTTAATTATTATGTTTAAACATCATACAATCAACCCAATTACCCATCCCCATTATATTCCTTACTCTTAAGGATCTACCCTAAGAATCATCCATCTTGCATTCGTTCATTTCGAAGCCCATTGCTTCCAGGGTTTATATGATAGGCACTAAGTCCATAGCTGTCAATGCTTGTTCATAAAGCACTAATTCCATAGCCGCTAAAGTTCATTCATTGGGTACAAAATCCATAGCTACCAGTGTTCAGCTAATAGGTATTAAATCCATAACTACCAACGTTTATTTAACAGGTACTAAGTCAATAACTACCAACGTTTATCTAACAGGTACTAAGTCCATAGCTACCAATGTTTATTCGATAGGCACTAAGTCCATAGTCGTCGTTGTTATTTGTTAGGCACTAAGTTTATAGCTGCCAATGTTCACTCATATCATCTTTCATCTCTCATCATTCATCTACCCATGTTTTACCCAACATATTCGTAGATATAAAATACATATACAATTTAAATCATTTAAAACATGTATAAAATCGTTCATCCAGCATAGAAAGCAAGTATTCAAATAATATGCACACATAATAAGTAATTTATATAAAATACTTCATATATATATGTAATATGAAAGTAACTATGCACTCATATCTATGTGGTGATTCCGAACTCAGACAGCGCTTCGCTTCCTAAAAATAATTTCCTTTGACGAAACTTAGTATTATTACCACTAGATTTTAGTCTAATATTTACCGTGACTAATTATTAGTCTTATTATTATTATTATTATTATTATTATTATTATTATTATTATATAAGCGTTTAAACAATATTTTCCAACCACTATGTACAGACAGGGGCCAGACATAAAACCGGAGGGCATGACCATTTTGGCATATAGCACTTCTGAAATCCAACAACCCTATGCGGCCCTTTAAACCAGATTCCTCGTACCGCGAATAGTTAAAAAGATATTATAACGACACTTATATAAGTCATAATAATAGCCCAAATATTTATTATAAGTTCATAATACAATACTAATTTTAAATATAAGCTATATTAAAATAAGGTAAGCATAACTTACTTACAAGGAGTTTTAGCTAGGAGTCAGGCTCTGCAGGGGCAGAACTTCGTCGCTGAATCTTTCTAGGAAAGATTCGTACAACGTTTCAGCGCTCACCTTGCTATACTAAAACTACAGAAAGAGAAGTCGAATCACGAGGACCGAAATGCTCGAGGGATAAGAAGAGAAAGACTCTTGAATCAAGAGAATGGTGCAAGAAATATGAGAGCCCAAAGCTCTTATTTATAGTAATTGAATTTACAAAAAACTACCCTCCATAACTACTTAATGACCTTATAGTTATATAAACGACTAAACACCCAGTCATAGTACTATTTTAAAAAGATTTAACGATATTTGTACTAAACTAATGTCGAAAGTATTCAACATTAGTCTTATAATGACCGCATCGTCGATACCTTTCTAATGATATATACATATGTATATATGTGTACGTATATATGATTTATACTTTATTTTAATACGTAAATATGCTATTATAATTTGTAACTCGTTCATACGAACTCCGTTTTTGACACTCTTTATATGCACACGTAGGTGGAGACGTACTCTACAACTTTCATTTAGACTCCGTCGGCTAATTTTGACTTTATTTTTAAAGTTATATTTTTAACAGGCCGGGACAGGAAAAGTCCGTTAAAAATTCATAATTTCTTCATCCGACGTCCGTTTTCGTCTGTCCTTTTACCCTTCCGCTACTATTAATGAGATCTTCACTTCTCATTTAGGTTGCGTTGGCCAAAAATCGATCGATCTAAAATTCGAATTTTGGGATGTACACTGCTATGCCAAATCTTAGAAAAATCATAACTTCCTCATACGAAGTCAGATTTTGACGTTCTTTTTTTGTATGTTCCCGGTTTAACGTATACTACAAATTTTGTTTAGATCACTAAGGCTAAAAAGTCTTCTATCATAAATTCACTATTTACGTCTCCCAGTGTCGTGCCGGTTTTGCCGTAAAACTTCGAAGGGCCATAACTTCTTCGTTATAACTCGGATTTCGGCGTTCTTTATATGTACGGAACCCTTGTAACATATACTATGACTTGGTTAAGATTATTCATTCTAAATAATCTTTTATTAAAAAATCATTGTTGACGTTTACCGTCTCTAAATTGACTAGCCCGAATCTACGGGCGTTACAAAAATCATTTGCACCACTTTGTTTTTGTGATTCTAGTCTAATGAAAGTCCCATTAAACTTGGTGCACCGGCGAGTGATCAGACTCCACTTACTACTAAGCATATCGATATTGTGATATGGTTGTTTCTTCATAAGCTCATGGAATTTGTCGAGCACAACTTCCCAAAACTCAACTTTTTGCATATCATTTCCTACAGTTGAACTCTTTGAAGTCCCGCATCACGCCACCGCCAACACGTACTTCTCCTCTAGTGTCCACCATAGTGGAGGTTCTTTTTTCAATTTTCGCGATTGCCTTCCCTTTCTTTTTCCCTTTCTCTTTCCGACTGCCTCCCGCTTGTGTTTTCATGAACAATTTCTGGTGTTGGTTGTATAGGTGGTGGTTGTGTGGTTGTTTGTTGCATGGAAGCGAAATCACTAAAAAGGTTTTGTTGATGATTTGGGTTTTGTTGCATGTAAGGGGATGTAAGAAAGTGCATTGGGGGTGAGTTTGGATTTAAAAAGTTCCCTTGAAGCGGTATTTGGTGGTAAGTTTGAGTTGAGTAGGTTCATATAACTCTCGTATTGTGTGAACCCCATCGGGACGGATGTGATTGTGTTTGGAGGCGGGGTGTTCGGGTTTTGCTCCATATTTGGTTGAAAGAAAAATTAGTTTTTTTAAGATGAAAGAAATATGAAGATGAGAGAAGATTTTTGTGTTTAAAAATTATGTATATGTGTGTATTTATATGTAAAATAAAAAAAAGTAAATTTTTTTTACCTCTCGACCGTTTCACAACAAACATATTTTTGACCGATTCATCGGCGTTACACATCATTATGGAGGCAACAGAGGGCAAAGAAGTCAAAGATAACGAACGAAAACGAAATAGGGGGAGATGTTTTGGCGTGGCCACCGCGTTTTCGTAATGCCACGTCAGTAAAACGAACGTGGGCGTTGCCCACACCTCATACTCGAAGAGATTTTTTTTGTTGGAGTTTTTTTTTTATAAAATATAAATAAATAAGCTAATTTATTTCCAACTTGAGAGTTTTTAAAGAGGATTATTTATGAGACCTTTATGTAATTTGTTTGTTTTTAATTGGTAGAAAACATATATGCCCACTAAAGCATTCGAAA